TGGTCTCAGGTTACAGTGGGGGAGGTCTAGGTTGGACATTAGGAAAAACTGTTTCCCTAGGCGGGTGGGGAAGCGCTGGGCTGGGTTCCCTAGGGAGGGGGTGGAATCTCCATCCCTAGAGGTGTTTAAGTCTCGGCTTGCCACGGCCCTGGCCGGGTTGATTGAGTTGGGATTGGTCCTGCCTTGAGCAGGGGGCTGGACTTGATGACTCCTGAGGCCTCTTCCAGCTCTAGGATTCTAAGAGCATCCCGACGGTGAATGATTCAATCCTACAGCATGTTATTATCGCGTGCTGCAAAGAGCCGCAGGAGACCCACTAAAGAGCCTCTTGCATCTCGCAAGCCACGGTCCATGAGTCACAGCTCTCGACCCCTGGCGGGGGTTTGTCCCACCGTGCGTAGAACCGCAGTGACCGAGGAGCCGGAAGGCCCATCACCGCCGCAGTAGGGCCCCGACGAAAACTCATCAGCACCACAAATCCAATCAGAACCTTTGCTCTCTTGAGAGTTCCTGATCCACAAGAGCCAGACCAGCTTTACTGCACCATTCCCGCATTCGGATTCCCACTGACACACACACCCATGTCAACACGCTGCCAGACCCACTGGGGCCACAGGAAGAACCTGGATCCCACCTCAACTCCTTCATCCGCCTGGCCCAGATTTCGGAAACCATCCCCGGGTGTAAGGTTTCCAAAACGTGCTACATACATTCCTGGGGGACAGGTCCATCCATGGCTACTAGCCAGGGTGGGCAGGTGCGGTGTCCCTGGCCTCTGTTTGTCAGAAGCTGGGAATGGGAGACAGGTAAGACCGTAAGAACGGCCACGCTGGGTCAGACCAAAGGCCCGTCCAGCCCAGTGTCCTGTCGGCCCACAGTGGCCAATGCCAGTGCCCCAGAGGAAGGGAACAGAACAGGGAATCATTAAGTGATCCCTCCCCCATCCCCCCTTCCCAGCCTCTGACAAACAGAGACTAGAGCCACCATTCCCACCCACTGGCTAATAAGTATTGATGGACCTACCCTCCATGAATGTATCTAGCTCTTTTTTGAACCCTGTTAAAGTCCTGGTCTTCACATCCTCCTCTGGCAAGGAGTTCCACAGGTTGACCGTGTGCTGCAAGCATGGCCGGCCCACAGCATTTTGGCACCTGAGGCGGGGAGCTCAAATGACACCCCCATTGCCCCTCACTTGGGCCAAAACTTTGCAAGGTCTCAGTTCTGCCTTCTTCCTGTTCTACTCCTCCCATGGTCCTGCTCTGCTACCTACCCCAATAAAGGAGAAGTAACCAGCAGCAGACACAATTTTCTACACTCTGGGTCCTAGTGGCGCCCCCCACAGTCTGGCACCTGAGGCGGCCGCCTCAGTTCGCCTCATGGTAAGGCCGGCCTGGCTGCATGAAGAAAAACTTCCTTCGGTTTGTTTTAAACCTGCCACCTATTCATTTCATTCAGTGACCACTTGATAACTCCCTGTTCTGTTCCCTCCTTCTGGGGCATCTAGTATTGGCCACTGTGGGCAGACAGGATCCAGGTCTGGATGGACCTTTGGTCTGACCCAGTATAGCTGCTCTTATGAAAGCACTTAAGCCCATGCCTGAATATCATTGAAACCAATAGCCCTGGAGCACGTAAGTACGCATGTGCTTTGGGAGTCGGGCCCCCCAAGAGCAGACCCAGCTACTCAGAACATCCTGTCCACAAGCAAAGGTTGATCAGATGCCTCTGGTTTCTCGCTGACGCCCATGGGAACCCTCCAGGATCCAGGCCCCGATGAGTTACACCCCGGCCAGGCGGGGGATAGACGGGCCTGCCAATCACAGAAGTGCTGAAAGTTTTGCTTGAAGACACAAGGCTCATAAGATCCTCGCTCTGAGCGGCACTTAAGTGAAAGACGCCCCAGACAGCAGCAGCTTGCGGTGTGCACTGGGTCATGTCAAGCGCACTGCTGACTAACTTGCCTGCCTCAGCTGGGCGGGATTCAATCCAAGGAGAAACCCCGAGCCTGGCATTAAAGTGCTCAGAGTAAATGGCTCCAGCACCTCCTGCCCCAACGCTGCCATGGTCTCGGAAGCTGCCTCGGGGAAAGGGAAGGGCGTCTAGGAGCTGGCAGGTGCCGTTAGCGGCTTGACGTCTCTTAATAAGACATCTCTTGACGTCTCTGCCTGGGATGCTCTAGCGCTGGCAGGAGTCCCTCCGGCCAGATGGCCAACGCCTGAGCCAGGGTTTTATCATCAGTGCTAATAAACAGTCGGGTGGTAACTGGCGCAACAAACTGCAGGCGGCCCAGGCGGGAGAGTCCTTGAGGGGAAGTAACGGGAGAGTTCCTTCAAAAGCGCCCTGGCAGAGAGGCAGACAGCGCCGCAAATCTGAGGTAATCGGGCATCCTGTCCAGAGAGGAGAGAACCGAAATCTCTGCTCTCTCTCTGAGTTCTACGGGAAATATTTAACCTCCAAGCACACTGCTCGGCCTCCACGCTGCTCCAGTGCTGCAAATCCACTGCGTACTGAAGGCAAACGTTTACTTGCCCGCTTCACTGTACACATGCAAAGCAAAGCCGCAGAGAGGACAGGCCAGGTTTTTATAGGTAGTTAGGCACTTAAAGGTGCAGACAAATCCCAGCCGGACTCTGTCCTTAC